GCTTCCACGGGGCTCGGATGTCAGGGGCGCTCGTTCGCCAGGTCCCTCCAGGTTCGCCTCCAGGGCCATGGGGAGAATACAGCTCCAGACTGTTCCGGGAACACGTCCCATTTTTGACGACGGATCCCAGCTCCACTGGCTTGTCGCCACAACTTGTCGACCAGCTTCACTCGTCTCTTCTGACCCTCTTCGGTTTCAGCACTTGTCGATGGTTCTGCAACTTGCTAAGAACGGTTCGACAACAGACAACACACGACACAAGCAAGTGCCCTCGGTCACCCGACAGAACACCAGACAAAGTATAGTACAACATATATAATTATCTACGTGTCTATCGGAATTTTGTTCCCTCTACATCAAGAGGCACATGTGGGACACAAGACTTTTAAAGTAAGAACTTGAATTTTTCACAATTACAACCACGCAACGAATTAGAATACCACATAAAGTTAGCCCCTTGAGATCACTCTGAACGAGAGCGCTCAGCCCAGGTCGTGATGAGGTCAAAATTTTGCCCCGAATCGCCAGCCAGAAACCGAAAGGTTGAGAAGTTACTAACTGGAACGCACTGCTCAATGCACCTGCATTAGCGTTTACCTTTCCTTTATTTTTTTTTGTTTGTTTTGATAGCGAACGTCAAAGTTGCGCTGGGGAGCAACATGCTCCACTTCAGTAACCGGCCACTTTTAGGCGACGATACCTATGCGGCACCAAGAGCGGCTCACACTTTCAACGTTGCACAGGGGAACAACGATACGGCTTGCTACGGATTGACTCCTCACCGCTTAGCTCGATATCGTGTTCGATCACCCTCGTGTTTCCGGGGCGGTCCGAAAACACGTCTTCAAACTCGGAACCAATCTTTCTCAGGTCCTCTTTCTCAGGTCCTCCTTCACTTAAGCTAGGCTCTAGGTTTATCTGCTCCCGGATTACTTTCGATCCCCCTTCGATTACCTCACTAGAACTCAAATTTTCTGCTTCCTCTTCCTCTGAAGCATTCAACAACAGATTTACGACCGCTTGATGTTGAACGTATGGTTTCATCAAGTTGTAAATTCTGTCCGGCCGCCTTCCTAATTTCACTTCATAATTTGAATCGCAAGGCTTCGATAATACTGTGGCGGGCCCTTCCCAATCAACCTCAAGCTTGTTCCTTTTGGACGGCTGCAGCAGCATTACCTGATTATCAACTTCAAAAGCGCGCTTCTTCACAGATTTCTCGTAGTGCTCCTTCGACAGCACTTTTGCCGCGTTTTTCTGGCTTTCCACTAGCGCTTCAATTTGGCTTTCAACTAGCGCTTCAATCGAGAGATCCTCACTCTGCTCTCGAATGAGCGTCTCTCGATCAACTCTCGGCAGCTCGCTCCAACTTTCCGCTACAGGCGAGAGCGTTGCAGCCCTCTCGCTCTGACTCAATGGCGCCATGTCGTCTCCCCTTTCTCCGGAAACCGCGCCGGTCGGTTCGGCGACGGGCCGCTCGCGTGACTGCTCACATGACTCATGCGGAAACTTTCCTTTCTGGGGTTCCGTCGACCCGCCGACAAGGTCACTTGAGAGTTCACCGCATGGAACCAGGTCAAGCTTCCGCGAAAGCTTTCGCGCTTGCGATCGCGTGAGGGCCATGCACGCAAAGTTGGGGAAGAACGATTTGCCCTGCTCTTTGAGGAGCTGCTCCGAGTTGTTGGAGAAAAGATAAGGAAAACGATCATTTAGCGCGGCAGACACAGCTGCTTCGGTGCGAAGCTTACCGAACGGGCCTTTAATGACAACCGTGGCGATTGGTAAGCGAACACTCTGCTCCTCGGCGACCTGCTTGATCCACGCGCATTCTCCTGTGAAGTCATCCGGAGACACCAATGAAGGATGGACAACGTCCATGGTTGCCGCTGAGTCTCTAAGTGCTCGGCACGTTTTCTCATTCACCCTAATTTCTTGGAGATACGGCTCCAACAACCGAATGTTTTTTTTCTGATTCTCGGATCGTTACGAAAGCAAACTTTTCCTGACAGTTTCTCGCGATGTGCCCTTCCTTTTTGCAGTTGTAGCAGATTAGCGGCTTCCGTTTGTTTTCCGGTTCTAATGCCTGTGTGGTAGAAACCTCACTCGATTTCTCCGCTTCTGTTTGCCCTTCCCCTACACTGTCCTTCGTAAGAGACGGGTCCTTCTTGAAATTACGGTGCGGAGCGGGTTTCCGTTGATCAGGTTTCCTTGAAAAGCCCTCTTTCCTTTCATCCTTTTCAACGCGCGCTGCCCTGCTATGCAACTTTCGGCGAGTATAATACTCCTCAGCTAACTCAGCTGCCTTGTTTAACTGTACGTCCCCAAGTCTGTCCTGCAGCCAAAGTTTGACATCCTCCTCGATGCAGCGGTAGAATTGCTCCAATGCAACGCATTCCACCACTTTATCGCGGTCGTCATAAACACCTTCGCCCTTGAGCCATTCAATCAAATCGGCTTTAAGACGAAACGCGAAGTCAACGTGTGACTCATTCCCCTTTTCAGCATACCGGAACCTTTGCCTGAAAGCCTCGGGTGACAACTTATAACGTCTCAAAAGCACTTCTTTAACCTCGTCATAGCTCTCAAACGCTTCCCTCGACAAGCAAGTTATCGCGTCGGACACTTCGCCGGGAAGAAGAGCTAGCAGGTTCCGCGCCCAAAGAGACTGCTCCAAAGCATTTCGCTCACAGACGTGTTCAAACTTGACGATATACTTCGCCATGTCATCGCCTACTACGAACGGTGGCAGTTGATCCCGAATTCTAATACCGCTGACCTGAATCGTCGGAGAAGCTGCGATAGGCGCCTGCGAACACTGTAGGATTGCCAATTCTATTCGTTTCATCTCGAGGCGCTCCTGTCTCTCGGCCTCCTCGCGCTCGCGACGTTCTCGCCTTTCAGCTTCTTCACGTTCGCGAGCTTCTCGCCTTTCTTCACGTTCGCGAGCTTCTCGCCTTTCCGCCTCTTCACGTTCGCGAGCTTCTCGCCTTTCTTTACGTTCGCAAGCTTCTCGCCTTTCAGCTTCTTCACGTTCGCGAGCTTCTCGCTTTTCAGCCTGCTCGCGGCGTGCTTTGATATCCACCCAGGCCTCATCGACTTCCTCAGCCGACACTCCCTCATCCTTCATGATCTCAAGGATCGCTTGCTTTCGTTTCGCACGGCCCAAAGTAATGCCGAGTTCCTCACAAATTTCGATGAGTTCCTTCACTTTAAGGTTCTCCATCGTTCACACTAGCCTCTTGCTGTTTGCCCCTGTTAACAATTTACTTGCCGTACCCACTATAAGTCAACTAGCAAGACGCGCAAGCAATTTTTCACACTCCCGTGTTTACCCCCTCCGCATTAACTTTGGTTTCAAAGCGCTTCGACTTGGCTTGAAACGATCAAAGCTCACTTCAATGCTTCACACAGCCCTTCTCTAAACTACTACAACCTGAGCTAGAGTAGTCTGGTGAACTGAGGGGAAAACATCAGGCACTCACCGCATCGATGTCGCTGACGCCGGTCGATCCCGCAGCTGCCAACCACTGTTGCGAAAGACGGGGACGCCAATACGACCCCGAAGGCGCCACTGCTTCCAACTCCGCCGGGAAGGTCACCAGCCGTTTGGTAGCGTATGTTTATCAGCCCGCGACTGCTTCTGCGCAGAGCTGATAAGACGAGCGGACGAGACGACGGTGAGTTAAACAAGGTTTATGTACAGCATATATACAGAGGCGTTACAATTTCGGCACTGGGGCCGACAGAGACTCGAAGAGCCGAGCTCTCCTCTCTAATACATAGGTCAACTTTTCGCCTAAGACCGCTGACTCACACACATGTCGGCTCTCCGACATGGGGACTCCTCTCTCATAGGAATGCCGATCGCGACGCGCCGCAGGGCTTCTTTTATTTACACCGGGTCCAACCAAAATGTCCAATCAGAAGCGCCGCTGGTCGTCAGGGCAGATTCCTCCAATGGGGGTCGCCGCGCCATGCGTCAGACCACCAGACACGAAGACGCCGGCTCGCTGTCACGTGCGCAGCTGACTCAATGCACGTGGGCCAGAGGGGCGCCGCGCGTGTTCACGCCGTCGAGTTGATCGCGCCAGGCGGACTGCGGGCTGGCCTTGACCCAGATTGCCTTTTTCAGAGGCACGGACGTTTGACGAGGACTCGCTGGCATAACAAGGGCTAAACAGCTCCTCCCTGTGGCACGGACTGGAAGCATAGGGAGTTGCTTCCCAGACAGCAACTGCAAAGACTATGTCAGTTTTTCAGGAGCGTTGGTGGGAGTATTTAATCCTTGGGGAACAACGGGGTGCTACCAACATTTCATCCTTCAAAAAGTAACTGTTAAGGGACTAAGAGGTAATACCTTGCTGTTGTATACTAAAGGGAGCAATGGTTGTGGCAGCGCAGTTGCTCCCTTTCAAGGGCATAGCCAGAAATTTTTTCAGGGGTGTGGGGGGAAGGGGTTCAACTATACCTCATGTGTGTTGGGGCATGCGTTTGTATGTGGCCGTGTAAATATGCGGAAGGAAAATTTTAATGTTTCGGTGGTTTAACCCTCCCAATCTACCTTGGCACTGCTTCCTCAAATCAGCGACCTACGTTACTTTCTTCAGCCTTAGTGTGTTGTACCGTTCATTTTTCGCATTTTGGCATAGCGTGTTCTAGTGTTAATTTTTCGCAGTTTTATTATGGTGTGGTGCTGTTCATTTTTCATATTTTGTCTTGGTGTGTTGCACTGTTCATTTCTTGTATTTTGTCTTAGTGTGGGCTAGTGTTCAATATTCATACTTTGTATTATTGTGTTGTACTGTTCATTTTTCGTATTTTGAGTTAGTGTGTTGTACTGTTCATTTTTCGTACTTTGTATTATGGTGTGGTCCTGTTCATTTTTAGTACTTTGTCTTATTGTGTTGTCCTGTTCATTTTTCATATTTTGGCTGAGTGTGTTGTATTGTACAGTGGTATATAAGCAGTCGAGTGACTTGGCAACTATTTCTTCTGTGCAGGGTTCTCGCGACTGCAGACGAACACCCTGGGTGGGTCCCGCTACAGTGCTTGCAAGTCCTTCATAAAACCGGTGGTACAGGCGCGGCGCAATCTGCACATATCACTTTTGTCTCATGCCACCAAGGTAAGAAAGCAACGTTATGTCCCACTTGCACATCAGTTGCGTCGCGTTCAAATTCGCAAGGTGAGCAAAAAATGTAATAGGGATGAAGGATATACAGAGTGTCTCAAAACATGTGTCCGGTTATCGTCAGAAGTTAGGCGAGTGGAACATTTTCTTTGTTTCTTTATAATCACTTCTTTTTAGATGCAAAGAATTATATGGCGCCCGGTATGCGGCGTGACCACCTTTATTGCGCATGCGCAAAAGCTGGCTCAAGCACTGCTAGAACGCACTAGCTCGTTCCGGCCGCTGTAAAGGGCTGGACAAGATGCTGTGGCATCTCCCCTTTTCTCTCTCTCAGCAATCACGTGACGTAGTCGGGGAACGAGAATCTGCATACGCGCGACGAAGCAATGCGTAGTATCCTAGTCAGAACGCACTGGCGCGAACGCGTTCGGACATGCGTAAATGTCGTGGCTGCGTAAGAGGCTGTGACCTCTCTCTTTCTCTCTATTTCTTTTTTTTATGGGCGAAGCTTCTTATATACCGTGGGTCGTATGTCAGACGTGTCGTGGTAGTCATCGTAGTCGGTGTAGTTGCCAGTTGCATTGCATTGCATGCCAATAAAAACCGTGAATGATGATGAGTGGGGCGAAGCGTCTATCAGTCCGTCCATGCTGCCGCGCGTCTGTCCATGCGTCCATCCGCGCGTTCGTCCATGCGTCCGCTTCACCCCACTCGTTATCATTCACCGCGTGATTATGCTGCGATTTTTTTCTTTAATTAGACTGCAGCTTCTCTCCCTTACACTCTGTCAGCATTAGATGCGTGGAGCAACGCCGACTAAATATCAAGGCCGAAAGTCTGCTGCAGTGACGTCAGAGGTTGGGGGCCCACTTGCCCAACTGACCATGCTCAGTAAGGCTTTTTTTTCCACATCTTTTATTCGGCCCAATCTAGCCGCAGCAGCTGCGAGAGCGGGAGCGTTGGTTCTCCTAAAACGTCAACGAAACACAGGCTTTCCGCCGCGTTCGTGACGTAACTGGGCCCCCACCCTCTGACTTCACTGCGGCAGCCTTTCGGCCTTGAAATTTAGTCGGCGTTGCGCGGAGACACCGATACAAACCCGCTGCTCACCCCTCCGTACTGCTTCACATCGCCTCGTGGTACCTTCTAGCGGGTTATGGTGTATTTTGGTAGTGGTGGCAAATATTTTAACCATTTTTTGACCATTGACGAGAAGCTGTCGTGAGATTTTTCTAACAAAATAACCGATAAAGACTACACCCGCCATTAACAGAAAGCAGTCGCGGGCGGAACCGCTGACGAATATACTTGTATAAATATAAAGAAGACAAGTAGAAAGGAACGGGTGATTATTTCTACTTGTCTTCTGTGCCTCGTATTTTTTTGCGTTCTAATTTTAATTTTAGATGATGCACCAAATCGCCCAGCAATGCGTACTTGTTGTAGTTGCGTTTTTCTATGTGGTATGGTGTCACTACTCCACACTTTTCCAATAGATTTTAATCCGGCTTTTCATCCTGTGCCTCGCCTTTTATTGCCCTGCTACCTCTTATACCATGCACGTGGTATCTCGTTTACAAAATTTGAAAAATAAAGCAACGTTATTTACAAAATTAGAAAAATAAAGCAACGTTATTCCATTGAATATAATATTGTATTATTATTTAAAAAAGCTCTACAAAATGAGGACAAATATTTCTATGGTCATATTGTGGCAAGTTTTTTTTCTTTCTTTCGATCGCGAAAGCCTTTCAAATGAGCCGAAAGAGCAAGCATGTCAGTTATTAGGAAATTTATTTATTTTCCTTATCTAGTGAAAACGGGTGGTCCTGTCACACGGGGAAAATGGCGGCCTTCGTACTTCGATTTAAGCCCACTGTCACTTCGAGATTTCTGACAAGCGGTCTGTGGTTGTTACTGCGCAAAAATCAACTTTTACCACGGTCACCATCAAAGCCTCATACAGTATGAAGCTGACACTTAATAGAGAGTGTTGTGGAGAAAATGACAAGCCGCCGTCCGCATGGCGAAGCACACCCTTCGAACTCTTATTTATTGATGATAATGATGATGATGATGACCTCGGATGGATGGCGCTTACCCACAAAGGGGGATGGGCCAAGAACCGGGTGGCAGGATACTTAAATGAAACTAAACTAAAAATGAAGCCAATCTGAAAAAGTAGCTTAAAATAATACTACCAAAAAACAAAAATGTGTGCTGAGCAAGCGGTCAAACCATCCCTTTTTTTTGAAAGACATAACTACGAATTATAAACTAAAGATCTGAAAAGGTAGTGGTTCACTAGCATGGTAATCTTTTAGTTGCGTTGATGTAATCAAACACAGCGGAGCATACATCCCTGTGGCAGTAACCAAATGAAGTTCCGCCAAGTGATAAAATTGCAGGTAAATTTACTTGTATTCCTAGCTTTTGTAATGGGGCTACTAAAAATTTTTTTTTCATAAGAATAACGATGACAGAATAAAAAAGAATGTTCAATTGTTTCAATTTCGTTGCACCAAATGCATAGCGGTGACGCCTTGAGCTGAGCTTTATTAAGGTAATAATTTAGTTGTGGAACTGCACAGCGCAATCTGGTATAAGTGACCTCTAACTGGCGAGATACACACCACTTTTTATTCCAGCAATAGCTCAAATGCTCGAAATCTTTGAATTTATCCAAATTACCTTTTCCCCATTGCAGGCAAGCATTTCGGAACCTTAGCGCGGTTACGTAAGCCGTATCTGGCAAAACTGGGATGGTGGGCCCACCCAGGGATACTGCTGCTAATGAGTCCGCCATTTCGTTCAAATATAATCCGCGGTGGCCTGGTACCCATAGAAAATGCAGTTTTTTTACGTTTTTCGGTACTAAATGCCGAACCGTATTCATCAGCTCTGAATTTACTGCCGCAGAAAGTGCATTACAAACTGATAACGAATCTGTAATGATAACTGCTAATGATTCGCTTGAGGTTAATTTGCGTAGGGCAAGAACAATGGCCAATAATTCTGCCATGAATACCGGGGTATAATCTGGGAGTCGAATCGAAAAGGACCAGTCCAAAGAAGGAGAGAAGATGCCGACCCCAGCCTTTTCTTTTGACACAGATGCATCAGTCGCTATGATATTGCTTCTCTAGGTGGGCTAGATAATCTGCTAACTGGTCATTTAAATACCTATATGCCAATTGTTTCGCGTTATGAGGAAATATATCATCGAATTGTATGCTAAGCATTGACTTTAGGTTGTGTATTGGGCCAATATGTCTAATTTTTACATTCAGTTGCTTTAGTAGCGCTTGTGCAAATACTATTTGCGGGGTGTGTAGTCGCGACCAATGGATTTTGAAAAATAAAGTCGGTTCTTGAATGAAAGCGTAAAATGAGAGTCTTTGGTGTTAACTGTATATCTTTAAGAATGCTTGCACAGTAAGAATTTTAAACCTATTTAGCAGAGAAGGTAGGCGAGCTTCCATATACAACACGTTATTTGCAACAAACTTTGGTAGACCCAGACACAAACGCAACGCTTCTCTTTCCAGCAGTATTAGGGTCTCATTTTATAGGCTGCGCTGCCAGAAAATAATACACATCCGAATTCCATGATGGGCCGCACATAAAGTTTATATATCATTATTAGCACATCTCTTCTTAAAAACCCGCTTTACGGTTTGCAAGCTTCCGCAGCCACCCCATGGCCCGTGTTGCCTTGGAGTACACATCATCAATGTGACTTCTCCAATTCAATGTGTCATTATATATGATGCCCAAATATTTAAGGGAATTCGCCTGCGGAATGAGCTCATTACTGTACATTAACGAGATGTTGATAGGCTGCAGAAAAGAGAATGCAAGGAGCACACTTTTCTTTACGTTAAGGGTCATATGAATATTTTTATTGCTAACAGTTATCTAATTCACCGATGATGATGACGTCGCTCTTCGTCTTCTACACAATTTGCAACAAGGAGGGAGGGTTGCCAATACCTTCGTCTCCCCTCCCCCCACCTGAAGGGGAAGTGCTTATGCAGTAAAGAGATAGCTGTTGTGTACGCAGCGTATCGGGCTGTGCACCTGCAGCGCGTAATTTCAAACTGAATACGAGTGTCCGAGTTTGTGTTCACTGTACAAAGCATTCCTGTGCAGATACTGTTCGAAGGCCACCGTGCTGTTGGAGTGAAGTTTGAACGCAGTGCGGAGAAGATGCACGTGCGAGCGAGGCGGGAGGTGATCGTGTCTTCAGGAACAATCGGCTCTGCACAGTTGCTGCTGCTCTCCGGAATCGGGCCTCGCAAGCAGCTCGAGGAATTGGGGGTATTGTTCGTCACTGTCTCGCACTGAATTATACTCTACGGCAACCCAACAGCGGTACTGAGGGCTCGACGGCACGCTTGATTAGCCATTTTGTTCGTCTGGGCAATTGTGCTTCAGCTCCGAGTGTAAACAAGCATAATAAAGTGCAATAAGTTTTCGCTCGCATAACCGGGCCTCGATGAGCAAAGCCACATTTATTTTTTTTTTCGAAGTTTACACCCACTTGCTTTCCGTCCCACCCCAGATCCCCGTGGTGGCTGACCTTCCCGTTGGGGAGAATCTGCAGGACCACATATTCGTCGGTGGCATCGCGGCCACCACCAAGAAGGCCTCCGAGCTGAGGCTCAACAGCGCCTCCATCATAATCAACTACGCATTCCGCAAGCAAGGTACGTGCTCGCTCTATACAAGCGTGCTGGCAACAAGAAACAAAATTACACCATCTGACACTAAAGGGAACCACGCGGGGATGCGAAGCGGCGCTAGTGCTCACGTGTTTTCACATGTTGCTTCTATTTGCATGTTTCCGTGTATGTTTAGTTTGTGAGTGGAGTTGTGTATATGATGTGTACCGCTTAAGTTATCCCCTCCCTTGTGTGTGTATTTCCGTGCGTGTGCCGCAAAGTGAACACCCAGTGCTGCTGTGCGAGCGCGCACAGCATTATATACGAGCGCTCAGTTGTGGTGGAGAGAAAAACGGGTGATGAGAAACGAAGTGGCAGCAGCGCTCTGCCCCCTCCTCCACCCCATCTCCTCCCACTTCTCCACGCTGACGCGAAGAAAGGGGGATAGTTTGCGCATGTGCAGTGAGGGTGGTCACGCCACACACCGGATGGAGCTGCGCCATAGCTGCTTCGCATCTTAAAAAAAATCTCTGAGGCCTCGCAACGTATCGATCAGTTGGATTCGAAGCGTCACATGCGTTCCTGCAGTGTTTTCACCACGCCAAGTCTGTGATGAGTGGCAGCAAAAGGCTGCTGCCCGCTTTCCAGAATACTGTGGTCCTGAGAATCTTATATATAAGCTGCTATACGCATGACAAATTTTGGCCTTCATCTATTTGTGTGGCCGCGACTCTTTTAGCCATCAATAAAGTCAAATAGGAATACTGGACAAGAGCGATGCTGGCACAATCCCTACTAAGGTCAGTCTGTGTTACACATTTAAATTTCTTTGCTGCAGCGCACCTTCTAGAGATAATCACTTCGTTTCACGTAACATCACCTTTAAGTGATTTTACGTATTCAGTATCGCTAATTTTAAATGGTTTGTTATTTACAAGCTTTTCTTGTCAACACGTGCAGGCCCATAGGTAACAAAAAAAGAAGTCGGGTCGAGGACTTGTTATGTTTGATATTTGTAAAGATGGACGACGTTCTTGAAGGTGGTCTTTGTGAGCAATATTTCAATCCTTCTTCCCTCCAAGTTCGATTGTCTGGATGCATTCTTGTAGGGATTTGACTGATGAGTGGAAGTCTTCATAGAAAAGGAGAGATGGGATCATTGTTACTATTTGAGCCTCGTTTAAATATTCTGTGTTGTACACGTAGGGTCGTTCTTTTGTGTTAGAAGTAAAGCGCTGAAATCCTGAACGATCGCATGCTAACGCTAAGCAGCCCTGGCTGAGTCATCTTACCCACTCATCCTCACCAGACTGTTTTCAGTTTTACAGCGAACAAGCCTTTAAAGCATACAATGCTAGGAGCCCGGGTGGTTATTATCTTTGTGTGCTAGTAAAAAATGTGACGTAATTGCCTTTCTATTTTTTTATCACCTAAGATTCCATAAACACGTTGCTAAACTGCTGTATACTTGATATGTGATATTTAACATCCCAAGACCACCATATGATTATGAAAGACGCCGTTATGGGGGGCTCCGGGAAATTGCGACCACCTGGTGTTCTTTAACGTGCACCTAAGTCTGAGCACACGGGCCTGCAACATTTGCGCCTCCATCGGAAATGCAGCCGCTGCATCGCACAACTGCAACTGTCGTGGTGCAATCGCTCATTTCTGGCACTGTGACAAAAATCTAGCAAAACGTGCACGAAGTCCGAGTGGAAAGGTGTTCCGAGTGCATTACATGAGACATGTCTTTGTGACTTCACATAGTTCTTAACGTTCCTGTTGTGTTTAATGCACTGAATACAGAACAGCGCTCAGGAACAGTCTATGGATTCACTTAGGACACTAGAAAACTACTCAGTCGGATCATTGCTTTGTCTGTTGTACGAACGTTTTCCATCGCACTCTTCCAAACGTTACTGAGAGTGCCTACACTGTACACACTGGTGACCGCAGGTCCACTTTCCGTGCCTGCCGGCATCGAGACGGTGGCCTTCGTCAGCACTTCCTACGTAAACGCCAGTCTGGACTTCCCGGACGTCGAAATAGTGCTGCTCTCGGTGTCACCGGCCAGCGAAGAAGGCGAGCGCTACCTCATCGACACCGGTCTCACAAAAGAGGTGTTCAATGGCGCATTACGAATACCTAGCGTCTGCTCTAGCACCTAAACTATTTGCATGCCGCCACCTCCGCGAGGCCACCAAACGACATCGGTGATCTGACGTTCTTGTCTTGAGGGTGTGTCGTATGTTGTGGAAGGTAGCTTTATTTGCCCCCTAAAGTTTCTTCTCGTGATTCGAACTGAAGACGAAACCTTCTGCATCCCTGTGACACTTGGTCTGTCCATCTGCCCACTTCCTCCTACCACTCTTCCCTTCATTTCGTAACCTTTGACCTATAGAAGTACACGTTATTGGGCTAGTCGGCTCATGTTCAACTAGAAACCTCAGTTACGGCTATTTAGCGCCAACAGATAACCAGGGAAGGTTCAAAAAGAGCCTAATTGACCTGGTCCTCTTTAGAGTGAAAGCTGTTGTGAAATCACAACTATTGTCACGCGCGGCGCTGTAATTGTCCACCACTATTGCAAGAAAAAAAAACCTAGTTACCAAGCACTCAGTGGGGCTCGAACTAGGGTTCGCTGCGCGCCAGCACAGTATTCTACCACTGAGCTACGCTGGTGCATGGGAATTGTTCGCAAAATTGCCTTAGACAGCCTTGATGTCGGGAAAGTAATCGCGTTAATATGAGGAATAAATCGTTTTAGAACAGTAAAATAACAACCAGGCGTCGCACAAAGCGAATAGCGTAACGAGTGGGTCGTCCAATGCTCCAACCCATTACAAAATCTTTTGTTTGGTTGCCTATATCAACTTCTTCTTCTTCTTCTTCTTCTTCTTCTTCTTCTTCTTCTTCTTCTTCTTCTTCTTCTTCTTCTTCTTCTTCTTCTTCTTCTTCTTCTTCTTCTTCTTCTTCTTCTTCTTCTTCTTCTTCATTCTTCTTCTTCTTCATTCTTCTTCTTCTTCTTCTTCTTCTTCTTCTTGCTCTTACCCAATGCAGGGGATTGGCGTCACCAGCATGGCTTCCAGTGATTTTTTTCGTGATATGCTAGGGATAGGTTACAGAACAGATAATTACTTGGCGCATACCCACTTCAGGCGTAATTCAACAACGTCGTCAGCCACTGCATGAACTGTTGGCACGAAATTCCTTGGAAGTGTTTAGCGGATATCCCACTTTTCAGAAAAAATGATGAAGAATAGCATTGCTTATGCCGGCGCAAATTATTATTATTAATGCTCTAGTGGGTACCCAGCAAGTGTCCTTGCAGCAGTTACCCAATGAGTGCTAAGAGAAGGCTCTGAAATGCCACTCTTCTAGCTTTTGCTGTGACTGTGCTGCGCCTTCCACGCAGGCCTGGTGTTTTTATTTCTATGTCCGAAATGTCAACAACTGTGGCTTCTAATGGACCTATCCACTATTCTTGACCCATTGTCACAGTATTACGATAAAAAGCAACCCAAACAGTGCGCCACGTGGAATTCTTTTCGGGTGGGTGTAGCCTGACTGGTGCCTACCAGGAAGAATGCCATGAAGGTATGAATACGACGAAAACAAGCGCAAACAACGGAGCACTACCGTGCCACGTTACGCTGCTTAATCACTTTGGACGAACTGTGACACGTGGTATTACGTTCAAGCTTTGCCGTGTGCAGTTGTGGACGGTCCGTGCGCAGTCCATTGCAACCCCTGACGGGGGCCGTGCAACATCTCTCGCAGGCGTACGACAAGTACTACCGCTCCAAGCGTCACCAGCACGGCTTCCAGTTGGCGCCCATCCTGAACCGGCTGAAGTCGCGGGGATACGTCCGGCTTCGCACCACCGATCCGGACGACCCGCCCATCATTGACCCCCGGTACTTCAGCCACCCGGAGGACATCAAGGTGGCCGCGGAAGGCACGTCGATTTCGCCATATTGCTCTCCCGTTGCACGCTCACTCACTCACTCACTCACTCACTCACTCACCATGACTTGGTCACAACATGACAGTGACGTAACTGCCATACAGGCGCCCACAAGGCCGTAGAGATCCTGCGGACCGAGGCGTTCGCCAAGCTGGGCACCAAGCTGTGGAACGTGCCTTTCCCGGGATGCGAGGAGGCCGGTGAGATGTGGAGCAAGCCGTACCTGGAGTGCCTGGCGCGGCACCACACCTCGACCGTGTGGCACCCGTGCTGCACGTGCCCCATGGGCGAGAACGAACGGGCCGTCGTCGACAGCAGGCTCAGGTAAAGATTGGGGGACCTTTTAGCTTTGTCTTTCGGAGTTCAACGCTAGAGCTGAAGTCGGGGGGGGGGGGGAGCTTTCACATGTGGCTCCATTCTATGTAATGAGCAGCATGCTTTAAAGTACGAGCAAGCGTGCGCGTGGAATGTTTTCGTATATACTTCCTATGAACCTTACACGTGGTCTTAAAGTAATACGCGTAGTGACGCGCGTGCCTTTTGTAATGGGTGGGGTGGCTGGCTTTAAACCATGGAGCCGCCATGATAGTCGCATATTCCGAGGCCCGATGGTAATGTTCGCTTTTAACACGTAATATTAGTGTGATACTCTGTTTTATTGTGAAGATTTTACACAGGATGCGTGGGTTTGTAAAGCATGGAAGCTTTTTTTCACCGCATTTCCAAGCAGAGAATGTTATTTTCCTGATTTTCCGAGCAGAATCGCCGCTATGTGGTCAGACACCTGCTTGCCACGGTAACGGCCCAGGTTTGATCCTTACTCGGGCATGGAATTTTTTTATCTTTTTTTCTTTGCACGTTTCTCGATTTTTTGGTAACGGGCAAGATGATGATTTTTCGCTCACAACCAACGACGTCCATGCCAACACCGACGCAGACTCCGCAATTTCTGCTAAACGAGATGTTCATCGCTATCCCGTTAAAAACACGTGCTCAGACATAAGTTGCGGGAATGCATAGCCGCCTTTTGCACCTTAGACGTTTGAGTAGCCATGGGCTGAAGATTCAAGAAATCCGGGGGTCCTATATGTCGGAGTATGGCTTCAGACGAAACGGTGCCGAACAGATCGAGTTTCTTTATTTTTGTTCGACACAACCCAACTTGGAAGCTGACAGATAATGAAGCAAAGGAAAGCATAACGCGTGAACGTAATATTAAAAAATTTGGTGGGAGGGGATGCGTTTTACGTTGTAACCTCCACTCTCGCTACGCCACTGATTGAATTAAAGTGTCGCAAGTACTACTACGGTAATGAACAGTGAATTCCGTTTATTCCTATAGCAATTATATATACTCTCAACTGAATTTTCCCGCCGGCGTCGGCGTCACTCTCAGTATATATATATACATATATATATATATATATATATATATATATATTTATATATATATATATATATAGGAAATACGAGCCTTTAGGTGTACACTTCTCTCCCTTATTTCATTGAACGAGGGTTTCGTACTGGCAGACTTGGTGTGTTTAGGTTGTATAAGAGGGACAATTAATCAGCTGCCCGCTCATAATAAGTTCACGTGCTACGTGACGCCAAACATGCTAATAAGAGTGTTTTCACACTCGTTGTTTGGCTTATAGATGGCGCTGACTGTCACTCCTACTTCTAAATTCACATATAAACACCAAAAAGTGGATGGAGGGACGGCCGCTGTGATAGCTCAGTGGTTAGAGCATCGAACGCGTTATTCGAAGGTCGTAGGTTCGATTCCTGCTCACAGCTGGTAATTTTTTCTTCCACTTTTCTTTCTTCTTTCTTCTTATTTACATTCCATTGGTTCTAATGGCTTCCCCTGTACATTCCTTGGCATTACTGTCTGTTGTATCTCATAAATATTGTGTCAAAACACGGAAATACGAGCCTTTAGGTGTACACTTCTCTCCCTTACTTCATTGAACGAGGGTCTCGTACTGGCAGACTTGGTGTGTTTAGGTTGTATAAGAGGGACAATTAATCAGCTGCCCGTTCATAATAAGTTCACGTGCTACGTGACGCCAAACATGCTAATAAGAGTGTTTTCACACTCGTTGTTTGGCTTATAGATGGCGCTGACTGTCACTCCTACTTCTAAATTCACATATAAACCCCAAAAAGTGGATGGAGGGACGGCCGCTGTGATAGCTCAGTGGTTAGAGCATCGAACGCGTTATTCGAAGGTCGTAGGTTCGATTCCTGCTCACAGCTGGTAATTTTTTCATCCACGTTTCTTTCTTCTTATTTACATTCCATTGGTTCTAATGGCTTCCCCTGTACATTCCTTGGCATTACTGTCTGTTGTATCTCATAAATATTGTGTTAAAACACGGAAATACGAGCCTTTAGGTGTACACTTCTCTCCCTTATTATATATATATATATATATATATATATATATATATATATATATATATACGGAAGAAAATAAACGCAAGAAAGAAAAATAATCCCGAAAAAGACTCCGGCACGCGGATTCGAACTTGGTACCTCTGAAGCGCGAGGCGTTAACCACTGAGCTACCAAGGAGCACCTCCTCGAACGTTCCAACGGCACGCTATTTATATCTACCACTTAACGCTGGTGACGGGCACCTCGGGGGAACTGTTGTATTTTCAGCATTACCAGCGACATGGGGCAATGAGCGCGCGCCGCCACATCGTCGCGACGCGACGGCGCGCACTCTCATCCCCGACGCGTACTTTGTCTCGTGGACAGGAGAGGAGTGGCCGCTCAGTCGTGCACCTTTATCACGCAGTGGGGAGGATCGTAAATCTTGACTGGCCTTGCGCTTTTCGGGAATGAGTCTGTTGCAGTTACCGGGTGGTCAAAGGTCACTGCAATCGTTGCACATCTCCGTTTGGAAAAAAAAGGACGCGCTTTTGAGACACAGTGAAGTAACAACTAAGATGCCTGTTCGTGTTCATCTGTACCTGTGAGTGTGTTTCGGGAGTCATTTGCGCGCGAGAAACGCAGGACACGTTTCGATCTGCTTGCCATTCTGCGCGTGACCTTCCAATATTGCCACGTTCCATTTCCCAAGTTTTCGTTATCGTCCCAAAACACCACACGATTCTCAGCGCAAACCGCGCCTGCAGTTTTCGAGAAGGTTCCGGACTGTAGTAGATCATTTCGATAAGATTACGCCCACTGTGCGAACGGTACACATTGTTCTGGAACCTACGCCACCGCCAGCGATAACGCTAGAACATGCGATGGCAAGAGTATAAATGCCGACGCGCTTCGCGTCGGCATTTATACTCTTGCCATCTAATGTTCTAGCGTTATCGCTGGCGGGGGTAATCGCTTGTCAGTTGTTGAACGAAGGCCGACGCTCCGTTCGCCGCTATCAGTCCGAGACTGCTATCTGTGCAAGACTGCTGCTGTAATCGGACTTTCCGTTTACTGGGCACAGGTTCGCCCAAATAAACAGTTAAATCCCAACACGAAGTCTCCTGTCTTCGGCCACGTCACGACCCCGTGACATCTGGTGGAGGTGCTGCTTCGTTCATGTACCGGACGCCCCCGTCAAGCCGTGAACCCAGCCCACGTCACGGAGAAGACACCGACACCAACCAGGAGCAGCGAACAAGCCGCCGACAGCAAGGGCTACCACCGGAGTACGGGCTTCTACCAGACAAGGCGCGGAAGACGAAGGCCATGACCGCGACTGCAGCGACAATGACAACCGCAGCGTCCCAGCCCACGATGGTCATGCATCAACCCAGGGAACCACCAATTTTCCATGGGTCATCGTTCGAAGACCCGGAGTCCTGGCTGGAGACATACGACCGTGTGGCCGCCCTCAACCATTGGGACAACGAAGAAAAGCTCCGTCGTGTGTACTTCTGCCTGGAAGACACCGCAAGGACCTGGCTAGAGAATCGGGAGTCCACGCTCCGAACGTGGCATGTCTTCTGCGGCGCATTTCTGCAAACGTTCGTGAGCGTCGCTCGCAAAGAGAGGGCCACTGCTCTACTAGAGACCCGCGTTCAGCTACCAAATGAAAAGGTTGGAATTTTTACAGAGGAGATGACCCGCCTATTTCGTCACGCTCACACAGACATGCCTGAGGAGAAGAAAGTTCGTTTCCTCATGCGAGAGATCAAACAAGAGCTCTTCGCAGGACTAATGAGGAATCCACCGAACACCGTCCAAGAATTTGTATCCGAGGTGACCACCATCGAAAAAACCCTGGACATGCGCACCAGACAGTATAATCGTCGCCTGACTCCAGAATGCGCTGCTGCTCAAGCCAGTGATTCCGACAACCTGCGTGAAACGATCCGAGCGATCGTGCGGGAAGAGCTGCGCAAACTGTTGCCTTCGGCGCAACCTCAAGTGGATTCGATCGCCGACATTGTGCGAGAAGTTCGGCAATCGCTTCGAATTCCCCAAACACCGCTGCCCGAGCCAGAAAATATGAGCTACGCCGCTGCAGTGCGCCACAACGCTCCTCCCCGTCCACGCCGAAACGCCGCCCCGTCGCACTTCCGTCTCCAGACAACACCGCCGCCACCACCCCCACTGACGACCTACCGTTCGCCAGCGGGCCAGCGCAGTGCGCCGAGGAAAACCGACGTTTGATGCACCCCTGACCACCGCCCACTGTGCTACCACTGCGGCGAGGCCGGGCACACTTACCACCGTTGCCAGTACCGACAGATGGGACTGCGTGGCTTCGCCGTCGATGCACCACGTCCGCAGCCAGGAGACGGCCACGTGACATCGCCGACTACCTGACAGGAACTCAATGGACACCACGAAGTCCTTCCCGTTCGCCGTCGCCCAGCCGCCGCATGTCACCGCACCCACGGCAGTACTCCGGCCCAACGCGGGGTCGGTCTCCTAGCCCGTATCCGGGAAACTAAGGGCAGCAACCGGTGGAGGTGCGGTTGCTGTGCGACGAACTACCGATGATCCTCCGACGACAACGACGCCGCGACGGAGCTTTCCGAACACAACGCCAACCAGGCAAAGCCCTGACGGTGAAAGCTCACTTACCGAAGGTGGCCTGACGACGCAACATGGAAGCAGCGGAACAAGCCGACGCAGCCGCGACCCGACGCCACGCCCTAACTGTAATGCGAGACGGCGAACTAGCGACCTCGACGTTCTTATCGACGGCCACAGTGTGACCGCTCTCGTCGATACTGGAGCTGACTATTCTGTCATCAGTGGGTCGTCTGCCGCGAAGTTAAAGAAAGTTAGGACAGCTTGGAAAGGCCCTGAAATCCGCACAGCTGGAGGTCATCTCGTAACGCCTGCAGGAATCT